AACAAGATAATATTAGTATGAAATAACAATAAAATTAGATAAAATAACAAAAAACACATTACATGCCATTATTAAATTTAGAATTATAGCCAATAGATAATACCATTGTGATATAAATGTTAAAAGTCCAAACTTTAAAAAAGTGATACCCAAATTCTTGGGAGATCCAACATAGTTTTATTACAGGGTTCCAATCTCTCAATAAATAATGCCCCCCAGATAAAAGTAACTTTTTTCTCAACACATCATATTAGAAGCAGTCTCATTCCACATTGGCACACGATTTCTCTCCACAACACTCCTAAAAAGTTCAGTAGTGCATTTGTTGTTATGGATATCATTCTGGTGTTCAGCAAGATGAATTTCCAATTTTTTTTGTCATACCACAATGTAAAAAATGTTTGCATTGTGCTATTCAGCTATTGTAATGGAACAAAATAAACTCCAGATTTTTCTAGTGTGAATGATACAACTCTGCAGTTTCAGGGAAGTCTGCATAAAATTATTTGAGGTTTAATTAGAAGAATAAGCCCAAATTTTTGATAATTTACAGTTCAGTTTAACAAATTCTGGTAAAATTTTTGTTTGCTTTATTGAACAAGAATTAACATTGTGACAATGGCATTTTGCCAGGGCAATAGTAAAATTCACTTTATAGGTGTTCATTTTAAGGAGAGTCGAAGTGTCATGCAAAGAGAATCATTGTATTTTCCATCAAATCATAAGTCATAAGAATCTTATTCAAGAGAATAATACTGCTTCATTGCTTTTATTAAAAGTGATGTATAATAAAGTTTAAGTTAAATTTGACACAGTTATTACATATAACCAAATATCTTACTCAGCTCCTTAAATAATAAATAATCCAATACTCGATGCTGAGAAAACGTTTTTTAAAAAACATTAATGTTTTCGACCTAATATGATAGGCCACCTTCAGATGCAAGTATTCTCAAACGTATTTAACTTAATATTTAAACGTCAAACGTTCGAATACTTTTACATTTACAGTAGAACCCCTCTAGTCTGCCCTCGACTAGTCCGCGTCACTCCGATTAATCCAACCATAGTCGGAGTCGAAAAACTTGTCCCGAAACGTTGGTGACCCACCGCCCATCGCATTCTTCTGTATTCATTACAGTATGTTTTACATTGTGTGTACGTGTACAGTTTTGTATGTTTTTTCAACATGTCAGAAGTGAAACATAAACATGTTACTCTTTCATTAAATGAAAAATTAGCAGTGCTAGAAAGACTGGACGAAAAACTGCCAAGGAACTCAATGTAGTCATTATGACAATAAAAGATTGGAGAAAAAATTGGAAAGACATTGAATCATATACAGTGACAATAGATAACGAAAACGCTCTTAAGAATCAGAAAACATTGAGAAAGCCTAAACTTGAACTGCTTGACAACACATTGTGGATGTAGTTCTGCCAAGAAAGAAGGAAGAGAACCCTGATATCTGGGCCCATTATAAAAGAAAAGGTAATAGCTTTGCACAAAAAAGTAGATTTCTTTATTCCTGTCACCGATTCCCTTGAATAGAATCAATAATAACAAAGATGATCTTAGATTAAAATTAGAGCAAAAAAGTTCCTTGAATGTGCACTTCTTGGACATTAATATCAAGTTCATGGGAGATCATTTGTCCACCAGTGTATATATTAAACCTACTCACATCCCGCTATATATACCAGCACAGTCCATGGATCCATATCGATATAAAATGGCCGCATTTCAAAAGAAGAGCTTATTTGTATTGTGATAGAATCGGTGACAGGAATAAAGAAATTGATAGAATATTGCCAAACCCTAGGTTACAAGAAAAGCACCATTGTAGGCTTACTCAAAAAATATGAAAGGAACAAAGAGAGAAAAAGCTTAAATACCGCTCCCAATAGACGCTTGAAGTTTACATATAACAGTATATTGAACAGTATTATGAAAGAAGTTGCTAATAGGAAACAAGCAAGAATGGTTTTAAAAAGAGCCCCAAATTTATATAAGATATTGAGGAATGATAAGGATAGAATAAAAACAGAAGAAAAACCAGGTGTCTATAAAGTTCCTTATGAGAACGTCCAACTGGATGTTAAGAAAGACTACATCGGTGTCACCAACAGGAGCTTAGGAGTAAGACTAAAAGAACATTGTTATAACGTAAAAAAAGGATCCAATGCTACAGTTTTGTCGCAAGTCCAAGGTTCGGTGGTGAAATGAGACGAGGCAACAATTATAAAACCAGTATCTTCCCCCGCTTTATCAATGACGGCAGAGAAGATTGAAATATATAGGAGTAGGCTACTTGAGGGATGTTTAAATGCGAGAGATGCAGAGAGACTGTCGTCAGCGTGGAAAAACATGATTAAAAAGTTCACTGAAAACTCAAGCTAAAATTAGTTTATTGGAAGATTTATTATATTTTTTATTTTTTAGTTTATTTTGTGTTATTTTTATATTTTCTTCCTTGTATATTTTTAAAAATTTTTGTTTGAAATTTTGATTTAAATATTTGTATTCTATACATAGAACGTATCTGTTCCATTTTCGTTTTTTAGACCTGATGATGGCCTGTTAATCAGGTTGAAAACGTTAGTTTTTCAATTATATTTCTCAGCAACAAATTAAGGTGTTTTATTTTCTGTGTTTACTTGCTGAGCACTTTTAATGTTATAGTTTGTAACCATATATATCGGGGATAAGGAATATGCCATAATTTTAATTACTTTGAAAGATCTCACAAAGTATGCCTCGACGTCAACAAAACCGATCTTTAACCTTAGACAAAAGACTTAAAATCTAATCGCCTTTAAAACTTAGACAAAACGTTTAAAGAGCAGATACACGATATCTACACGAATAAATTTCATAAATTTGAATGAAACATTTTCTAAAACGGAATTCATTTAATGACAAAAACAACGAAAGGAAGAATGGAAACGATTTAAATAGACAAATACTCACGGCCATGTTTATCTTGTAATTGTCAATCACCTTTTCGCGCCAAATCTACGCTGCCCGGTGAAGGAGAAAGCTTAGCAACAAATATAGCCCAATATTCGCCATATATTTGTTTCTATTCTAATTTAGTAAATGCCGAAAATTATTCATTATAGTATATAAAACGGGCGTAAAAATTGTCATCGGTTATTAACTGATAAATAAAAATGACATAAAATTTATCAATAAATTACCAAACTAAACGAACCATTTTTTTATTTGTCTTGTAGCGAATATTTCCTTTAGTTTTGAAAATGACTTCTTTCAAATCCCTAATATTTTTTTAATTCTTTAGCGAATCAAATGCCTATCAATAAAAAATTGAATTTTATCTCTATAAACTATAAACATTTTTTAAAAAGTATGAAATAAAACAAAAATGTTCTTCTATACAGTTTCGAAGTTACGAAAAATAATTTTTGTGTACTGTATTACATTCGCATTTAGTCCGCCGGATCATTAGAAGATATCCGTTTACCGTCGTAGTGAATCGAAATTTGAATCCGATCTACGAGCTATACGGGTCGGACATCGTTCGTCATTCTCCACCGCGCCGGTCGGCCCCGTTGCAAATTGTAACTTACGATGTGCCGGGTCTCGACTTATCCCGGTCAAAATTCACAACTTTCTGGACTCGAACCGAATCTTGTAGATCGATTTGCTTAATATTTCTACTGCTTAATCTTTGCCTTTTTTTTCATATATTCAACCTTTTTTCGAAATTTAAATTTAAAGTCTTTGAATTTTGCCATGTTATAATGTAAATGTTCAGAAGGCCAGATGCCAGAGCTATTAAGACGGCAATGTGCCGTTTCGGGACCCGGGATCGAATTCGGACGAGTTGAAAAAACCTCGAGACTTTTTCGGAAGTGAAATATCCGGGTGAGAATCTATCTCTTTCCATCCGGTCGTCCCATTGTGGGCCTGGATTAATCCACGATGAGCTCTTTAGTTTGTTTTGTTAAGTTATGGCAACGTAACACTTGGGCGATCTGCCTAGGGAAATGCCTTCTGGGCGGTCTTTTTAATTAAGGGAAACTGGCCCCATTTAGGCGTTACAGGCGTGGAGAAAACCTGGAAAACTCCACGTGGCCAGCCTGTCCGAGCGGAACCCACGACCAAACTCCCAGTGTTCGGGGAACGAAGACTGCTTGGCCCACTGGTGGGCCTCCTAGCCACGTAGTAATGTCTAAATAGGTGCCAGTTACCCTTACAAGACCTCCCGGAAGACATTATTCTCCACGTAACGGCCATCATATACGTCAGACTTTACCACAGGGCAATATAACCTAGAAGCTTATGCCCAACTAGCTGATACAAGACAAAACAAGAGTCAGTCAAAACTTAAAATGTGTTAAAAAAAAAAAACTCAAACCTACACAAGAACTGAACTCTGGTTTTCTTGACTGATTATTAACTCAATACTCTAAATGTAACATTTGGCATAATCTACATCCATTTCAGCAAAATGAAATTAACAGATGCGAGCAAAGAATGGAAAAAGAACACTCTAATCCAGCGATTTCAATCTTTTTGAAGTCAGGGAACACTACACTTTGACCTATTTTTTCCATGGAACACTTTACATCAGCTTTAAAGTAGGGGTAGCAAACCTTTTCGAAATCAAGAGTGCACTCGGTCTAGTATATGACATCATTAGCATTTGCAGTTTACATTCCTATACAAAAATTATTATACGTTCTATTGATTTTTCCTTTGCAACAATTTTTAATTGTATACTTGATTTTTTCGCAGAACACTTGAAGTGGCTTCACAGAGCACCCATGTTCCGCAGACCACAGATTGAGAGCCATGGCTCTAATCCACTCAACTTGTGATAAATTATGAGGAACTGAGTGAAATACGAATTTAGATCTGCACGACAAAATGAAGACATCTTATTGCTTGGCATCTGGTCAACATAAATATCCAAATATTGCAACTTTGTAAATAAGGACTACTCAAATGAATTTGATACAAAAATAAAACTTTTATTGTAAAAATATAGATTGATTAATAAAATTATAATTTGAAATTCTTTCTAAAACTCATCTGTGGTTACTTTACAAATCTATACATTATACCGTAATTACAAATTACGTTCCAAGAATCAGTAACCTATACATTAGGCTGAAAACATTTGTGTATAGCAAATAAATGCTTCTCAGTATCCCAAGATGATTATTGATGAATTATACATTATCTTTAATTAGCAAAATTTGTGTAAAACAAACTAATTCTGCATTTATATCTTTAATTAAATTCTTCCAATTTTGACTGCACAAAATATTCATTTCGTGTTCCCTTTCTGGAGAGAGGGCAAAATCGTCGGGTCCTGTTCCACATCCTCCGATACCTGGCAGAGCTGCGTAACCGGGATGAACCATAATTTCGCACGAGTGACTTTCTTCCGAACATTTGTAATCCAAAATGGCACTCTTAAGTCGCTGCAGTGTCATGTCCTTTCCCATGCAACACATTCCAATAAATCTCTTGGTGAAGCTAAAAAGTTAATTGCAAAATTAATGAATTTTAATGTTAAAATGAAACTATTTACTAATTTTAAACTGTTTTAACTTTTAAAATCACTAATGACATTTTTATTTTTAAAAGTAATGCATTACATACACTATATGCATTCAGTACTTCATCCACAGTATATATAGATTTTATAATGTGAAAACTCACTTTATATTGTAATTTTTAAATATTTTAGAAGATTCTTTTGCCATTATAACAACATCATTATAAAATTTTTTCCTTTCAGCATTAATCCAGTCACATTTCTCTAATTGATTATCAATTGGCATCCTGGTCCAAGTTATGTTTTCATTTTGTAAAACTTTTGCAAAAGTATCTCTAACACCTGAAATAATAGAATGAATATGATTCAATTTTAATTACAGAATTCTAACACTAATTTCTCACCTGGAAAAACGTGAACGTGTTGGTGACCGTCAACGTGGGTCGGAGGTCGATCCATCAAAAGTTTAAAGTGATTTATTTGAGCTGTCAATTCTCTCGCAACCTTTTTTAGATATAAAAATGCTTATTTCAGTTTATCAAATATCAAACAATACAAGAAAACAACAGAAATAAACATGAATAATTTGAAAACAAATTGTTGCTGTTACATACTACTGACTGATAAGAGGCATAGATGTATGGAATTATACTAATTTGTATCTTTATAAATAATTAAGAAAATCTATGCCACATCAAATCTGATAGAAATGTAACCAAGTATAAAACTCATTGGCTTTCCTTCAGAAAATGTCATACAAACCTATAAACCTCTGAGTATAACATTAACACTAGATCATCAACTATTTATTTGATATTAAACATTTTAATACAATACAGTACAATCTCAGTAATCTAACATTATATGAAAGTGGGATGGTGTTGGATTAAGGAGACTGTCAGATTATTGGAAATAAGGGGAATCCGATGAAACATAAATGAATTTGACAGCATAGAGTCAATTGTTAATGATGCAGCAAAACACAAATTGGACTGCTAATCAAAACATTTGAGTGCATTGCCATCACCAGTAATCAATGTTGCCAAGTTGGTGGATTCCCATTAAATTGAGTGAGAGGTGTATTATTTTTTATGGTAAATTTCAGGGAATGTTTATATGTTATTTTGTTATACGATATCCTACTTTTTTAAACAGCCAAAGAAACAAGCCTAATAATCTTTAAACAACTCCACAAACCAAATTTTTAATTAAAGCCAGATTATCTGCCATTTTATCAGACTATAATAAGGCTAAGTTAATAATTAGATATGAAGTAATTTGTCTATAGGAAGACAGATAAGCTACTATCTCATAATAATTTTAATAATTATAATTATAAATATCACTTAAAAAACCAAAATGCCAGTTTGTAAAACAAAACGTTGAAGGAAAACAAACATTTTCAATTGCCAATCAGATTATTTCAATCATGTTGACAATCATGTGGTTGCATTTCAATGTAAAAAGTAATTTCCAAATCTGTTCTTTTAACGTGAAGATGGTTGCTCAAGACAATTGAAAATGTTTGTTTTCCTTCAACATTTTGTTTTATGAACTGAAGTTTTGATGTTTGTAAATGATATTTATAATCTACTTCCAGCACATAGTGTGTTTATTACTTAATAATTATAATAAATTAATTTTAATTTAGCAAAACAACCACTTAAAACTGAATAAACTTGATAAAAGCAGTAACAGAAACAAAAAATTAGTATAACAAGTTATGGAGCAAACATTTTCACACTTGTTAAAATGGGCATCATTAGGATAAATGACCCTGCAGCTGTTAAAACAACAGGGATTACCTACAGGTGTCAAGATGGAGGCAATGTAAAAAAGATAAAGGGATGGGAAGAGGATAGAAAGTTTCAAGAGAACAGACATTCTACAAACTATAAACTGTCTGCTCCATTACTTGTTCTGCTTGTTTTTGATTTTGGTCACTGCTTTTATTTTAATTTAGAATTCTAGAAGAAAAGAATCAGCCTGGAGTGAGACTCAAACCTGCAACTCTTACTGTGCAAAATGTGTTGGGAGCTATCCGAACCTCCATCCAAACTTTGCTTTAGATATTTAGATATACCATATGGGTCACTGACATTATTTAGCCTTCTTATAACCCAATAATTTGACTGATCATTTGACTTTAACAATCTGTAATATTGTGCCTAAATTCAAGAAGATTTCATCACTTATTTTTATTATTTTGCCCTCTCCTTGTATATAGTTGTATCTTATGCAGACTTAACACATCTCAGAACATTTTGTTTGATAGGTTCATATGCTGTTTCAAGCCATTTATTTTTCAAATATCTCTAAATTTAATTTAATTATTTTAAAGTATTTAATTAATCATTAATGCTATTACACTTTACCAACCTTTAACATGCAGTTTATTTTATTAACGTAATCTAATGTTTTCGGTCAATTAGTTGACCTTTATCAGGATTGAACAATTTTTCGATTCATGACAAACAAAACCAATTATAGAATGTATTTAACTTTAAAAGTTTTCTCAACTCCTATTGCACAAGTCCAAAAATATAATCGACTTGTACTATTCTATAATCAATTTCATTCATCATAAATTGAAAAATTGTTTGATTCCGACGAAAGTCAATTAATTGACCAAAAATGTTAGATTACGTTAATAAACTAGACTACATATTAGAGGTTGGTAAATTGTAGTTATTTTTGAAAGTGTAGTTTGAGAAGAGTGTATTAATGCTATTAGAAAATGGCTGCCAGTCTTTTATACATTTATTCTAATAAATGAAATATATTTTCTATGAAACTATAAATAATTTACTATTTTATTTCTACTGAGACTAAATTGCAAAACAACTTAACCGGATTTACCTCTTCCTTAATAATTTCACCCTTGATAGAAGCTTGATGGAAAGAAAATTTTCCTAGAAAATGATTTTCTTTGTTCAGCAAACTAGGAATTGAAGAAACAGGAGACAGAGGGCAACCTTCACTTATGTTAAAATGCAAACCTATCAAGTAAATAAAATGATTCTCAGAATACTTAAGTTATAATTTAAAACTCCAACAAAAAGCATATTATAGTTTATTTTTGTGTAATTAATGCCCTTAAATTAACTAAGTATTTAGAAAATATCAATAAATTTTCATTAAAATGATTTAAAATAGCCTAAAATTTCATTTCTTCCATCTTCGAGATCAGTACCAAATAATAGCACTAGTTGGACACACAAAGATACTGGTTAGAACAGATATTGGATATGGATAAAACATTTGTTCAAGTAAAGGATTTTTGTTTTTGCTGGTTGTTTGTGTGTTGCATAACTCTGCTTACAGCAGTGCTAGTGATGAAAAAATGTGTTATTCTGTAGAAACGAGTTTTCTTTCCATAGTTTCTTATATTTAAATGGCGATATTTTCAGGAAGCGGCACCGGAACTATCGAGAGAGAGAAGCTATTTTTCCCCGGCCCAGAGAAAACTTAAAAGCCCATAACAGTTTTTATTCCCTAAAAATTAATGTTATTTTACTAATAAAAAATAAAATCTTTAAGACTGCTATTTATTAGTAAAAAAACATTCTCTACATATTTGTTCATTAATAAAAAAAAAAAAAAAAGCTAAAAGGGATCCACTCTATTCTCGGGCCCCATACCAAGATTTTGATGGCCTCGAATGCCAAAGATAATCAGTCGAATGCTCTCACAATTCAATAATTCGCATCTATGTAATTATCAAATTTTTATCACAAATAAATCTGTCTTAATGTCAAACTATCTAACTCAAAAAGTTACAAATGCATAAATAGATTCTGATTAATGTTTGTCCAGCTTCTGCATTTAGATTAGAACCTTCAAAGCTCCTAGATCAAAATATCACGTTTTAGAATTAAATATGCAACTTTAAAGCCAATAGTTTTTACTTTTGTGCCGTAAGGCTGGACCGTACAGAGGGCACTCGGGGGAAGTCGGCAACGAGAGGGCCGACTTCTTCACCAATAAGGCCACAAAGCATCAAATAAATACTTTTTTTGGAAGCATTCCATCCAGCTGGGTAAAAAATCAAAACCAATCTTTCATCAACAATAAATGGCAGGAAAGACGGGACACATCTTTCCTGCCATTTACACCATCGGCAGAGGTAACAAAATAATTAAGTCGCCACATTATTAGGTTCGCTTCGGTCGGCAGATTCTGCACTTCTCATAGTTCTCTTCAAATAGCAGCCATTCTAAATATCGAGTTTAGTTAGTAGATTAATTTAAGTAAAATACACGGTGACAGTCCTAACGAACGTTATTTACGCGACGAAGAAAATAAATAAGAGTGATGGAAAACATCACGTGTTGGTGGAAGGCTATCACATTGTGTTTTCCGTTTTTATCCACATACACCGAATAGATTCCACGCATCGGCTCGGGAATCATTGCTCTACATCGATGTATCACAAATCCTTTGTTCCCATTTACAAAAAAAATAAATATAATAGGAATAATCGACGAAAAAGACGACGGTATCTTACCGACAGAAAGCGAATGTAGGGGGAAAGATCGCAGTAAACGCGCTTCTTCGGCCGCCATTCCATTAACCAAAACAGAAACGGACGAAACACCATTTTCTCGTATACAGCGTATTATCCCTTCGTTCCTACCGGCGCAATAACCGAAGTCGTCGGCATTAACTACCAAAAGACGTCGTCCCGCCTCCATAAAGCGCGATCTCCGCCGACGGGCGTAAACACGACCACGTGATCGATGCCGGGCCCGTCGCGCCACCTGCCGGACCGAGTTGGCAGATAAAGAACGGCGAATTATTTTGTTCCGAAGTCGGAGGTGAGTGGTTCTTTTCTCGTACCGACAATATCGCAAATTCGTGCTAAATTATGCCGAATTTCGTTCGAAACGTTACTAAAGTCGAGCGAGAACGAAAGAAGACTGTTACATTTGCAAAATAAATACGATTTTAAAACTTGGTCTCGTGGCTATTTTTTAAATCCGAAACTAGTCGATTTGACCGAGTGTAAACACGTGACGGAAAGGGCGATAAATTAATTTTAAAGGCGAATAAATTGCGCGTAAACTCGTAGTAAAAGAGAAGTTGAACGTAACTAAAGTATTTTTGGTCGATGATGTGTATCGTCGTTGCGTAATCTTGTATCTGTATCTACACTCCGCTTTTATTCTCCGCTATGTCGTCTATGCCAAGAAGAATTTAAAATTACTCTGTAAAATACCTATTCGTACTTATCGAACCGACCGCTGCCTCTCTCTGCCAAATTAGTGACTTCTTCGGCCCGCGGAACCGAAACGTTGTTTTGTCGTAAACCACGTTGAAGGTCCGTCCCGGCCACAATGTATATTGTGGTTCTCGATAAGACCGATAAATGATTAAATAAAGACGGAACGTACAACGCTTGACTTGTTTCCGAACCGTTCGAGGAAAGTAATATTGTTTGTATTACATTTTCTTTTCACTTGGATTATTAAGTACATTTATACAAAAAATACTTCCTGGAAAATTTTATCAAATATTTTGTTTAGTTTCTGTTTCGATTCTGTATTAACTGCACTAATTGATATTATGTGTTTCGTTTTACAATGTTCGTACACTGACGGATATAGTTCGATATTCATACATTTTTTTGTGGGGAAAATGTATTAATTAATTAATAATAGATACTGTAATAGTAAAATGTAGAATGTTGTAAGAATAGTTTGATAAAAATGATTTTTTTTTTCACACCGAGAAATAATTGATTGGAGAAAATAAAATATCACATTAAATTTAAGAGAATTATATTACTAGGTAAAGAGAGAGAAATACAGTGGGTGATCGTTAACGAACGTAAGTTGTTCTGAGAATTTCTTCGCTATCCGGATTGTTGTTAATCGATTATCGATTTACCATAGGTTTTTATGGGATTTGATTAATGTGTTCTCAAAAAATAAAAAATATATACTTTCTTACTACATTTATTTACAGTCGATCCCCCTATAAGATCATTGATTTTTCCGTTTTATCTGAATTACATGTTGTACGAGTCACTTAGATTTTACAAATATGTGAGCCGTTCACAGCCCGGCACACGTATTTGTAAAATCTAAGTGACTCGTACAACATGTAATTCAGATAAAACGGAAAANTGAGAATTTCTTCGCTATCCGGATTGTTGTTAATCGATTATCGATTTACCATAGGTTTTTATGGGATTTGATTAATTTGTTCTCAAAAAATAAAAAATATATACTTTCTTACTACATTTATTTATATGTAATAATAAAAATACATATATACACGGTCTTGTATTTTTATTACTTGCATTTTTTCCGTTTGTGGGGTTGTAACCCCACAAACGGAAACAATCGGCATTAGAAAGATTCTTTAGAATTCTTTAGAAAAGCAATCAGCATTAGAAAGATTCTTTAGAATCTTTCTAATGCCGATTGCTTTTCTCTCTTCTTTGGGATTTTTCGAAAGTAATTAATAGCGTTGTAATTTTAGAGATCCCCAACCTGGTTTGGATGTCATTCTAAGATCATTGTTTGGACATCCTCTCGCTGCTTCAAAAGGTCTTTAATAGCAATGTCGGCATAAATCCTCTTTTTCAGAAAAAACATCTTGCCAATTTTCTTGGCATTCTTCTGTTGTTGGATCCATTTTGGATTCTATTATGAGCTCTTTGATGTTCTTTATTTCTCAGATGTGATTTTTGTTACTCCTTTAGCTGCTTGAGTCTTCTTAATTATACTGTAACTTTCTTAGATAAGATTGAACTGCGGCCTACTGTAGACCTGTTCGAGCCATACTGCCCGGCAACATCATCTGTCCACTCTCTACCTTTGCTATTATACTCTTGCCTTTTGAAAATAAAAACCCGCGCAAAACTTAATGAGTGCCCGCCCGACAGTCTCGCAAATACTATAAAAGAATGGTTTCTGTCAGAAAAATGAAAGGCTGGAATTAAAAGAGAGAGTTTCAAAGTTTGGAGGAATACTATCCAGTCGGTATATACCGGGTTGAGTGTCGATGTTGACGTCTCCCGCTCTTCAAAAAGTTTCGAATTGTAGTCTGAAGACGAGGGAAGACCAAACAGTATTCATTATTTTACATCGCTTCTTCTTGTGTTTGTTCTGTGAAGTGTTCGTTGTCTGAACATAAAAATCTTTCTCAAAAGTGTTCATTATCCGATTTGTTTATTAATCGATCACCCACTGTACTATTACTTTTATTAATATATTTTATTCTTGTCTGATGACTCTGTGACTGCCGTTACTGTCAGTTAATTTGTGAACGGTCATTGGAGCTTTTCCTCAAAATTTTGTGATGTGATGTGACTGTGTTCGAGTTATTTCTCCTTGCAGATTGCACCGTTTTTCTCTGGACTAGATTTAACACTCGGTCCAAATTTTTGTTTCCTGCATCTTGTCTTTGGGCTCAATACTTTGTTCTCTCAATCTTTCCTCTTTCTTACTAAAGTGAGGCTACGGGAGGTCAGAGGTCCAACCGACCACAATTTTTTTTCTCCTAAACTGCCACGAGATGTCGGAGCAGACATCTCGCAGTGTCGAAAGACCGACTGTCGTTGCAAAAGGTCCTCTGATGGTGTGCCGATTTCTTTCGTGGTGATGGTCAACATTAATGTTTTATTTCTGATTTTGATACTAAAACTATGTATGGGTAAACATTTGCATCATTATACTGTATTTTAGATACAGAGAGTGTTGATTTATAGTGCATGAGTGATTGAAGATGCATCTGTCTGAAAATTAACTTTTACGTATCAGTTGAAATGAGTAATTTTAGATAACCTCAAATTTTAATATTTGGATTATTTTGATTTAGAATATTTCAAACCGAAGATGGCCGAGGCAAGCGAAGAAATGAAATTCTGTACCAATTGGTGAGTAAAATTTGAATGTTGATGTCTATTTCTCCCAATTTACATAAAAGAATTTTTTAAAATTACTACTATATAATCTTTGTTACCTTCTTGATGATTAATTGATGATGCATGTCTTTGCATAAAATAGTTTGAAATATTTGCTTTTTGATAAGCTAATTGTAGAAAAGATAAATTATCTGAACTTTTGTAAAAAAAGTTCGGAAAATTTATCTTTGCTACATTATCATATATTGTACTCGAGGTTTGATAACAAACCAAAACAGTATTCATAAGTGATATTGACAGATAAAATTCATAAAATGAACAAAAATAATTTTCTTGTAACTTATTTTCATGAATTTTTACATTTGTTGCAAGTTAAAACTCTATTACAATAATTTAAAACTTTGACATTGTATCACCTCTCGGTGGAATTCTCAGAAATTTTTGTGGGTTTTTTGACTCAGATGTTGGAATCTTGTCCCTTGCCAACTGTTTACCTTATTCGGGATTTAGTTAACTTGTGATGAATGCGAAAACGAGCCTTCTTGGTGCCTGAAGAATGTAAGGAGAAGAAATATCATCATCATGTCAGAGTTTGTCATTTCAGATTTAATCAGAGTTTTCTTATTAAAACTTTCTTAAGTTTTAAGGCTCAGTTATATATCAATAAATCCTATTAATACTTCCAAATGAAAATCCTATTCATGTAAGACAAAATTGAGTTTGTAATTGTTTCTTTGAAAAATATAACACTGCCTCCCTTTGATTTCTCAGCATGCATTTATATCAATAATTATATTTATTATATTGGCCTTATAAATATATACTTGCTTACTTGAGACTAAAAATTAATAATATAAAAAACCATTCAAAAGTCCAGCAAAATTCTTTAATAACATAAGAACGTTTTCAAACGCATTAAGCGTCCATCTTCAGTTATTTCTCTAAAATCGAATGTGGAATTCGAAAAATTACACAAGCAAATTTTAAATAATTGATTATACAAATATTAAAAAGTGGCACGTTATTAATAAAAGCGCTACACACAAAAAATTTCGGTATGTTTTAAAATAATAAAAATAAATAAATTATTATTTATCAAGAGTTATCTTAAGCTTGATTAAGCCTTTATATAGAACTAAGTTACTTCATCACAAAAAGATTTCCAAGCGGGCGAAAGCCCGTCAGCATCCCTATAGTTAATTCATTGCGTGCTCTTCTGTGCCCTGCGGATTTCCAGTTTTTCTAGGTACTTTATTGCGTGTTTAGATCTAGTGGTTTTTATGATAGAGGCCTGGTCCCAGAAAACTGTGATGCCTTGTTCTTAGGCATAAGTGGCAAGAATCATACTGTCAATGGTCTTGTTCACCGATAGCTTATGTTCATTCATTCTTTTCTTCAAATTTCTTAACATTGCCCCTATATACACTAAATTAGAGTTGAACCTATGATCTCTTAGCGGTATTGAGTATATTCCTGTTAAGGAGTTACGTTTATAACTTTCCTTGTCATTCTTTAATAACCTGTATATAGTGGGATTATGTCGATAAATTATTTGTAAGTTCCTATCTTTGGAAATCCTCTTAACCAACAGTTTAAGGAAAGGTGTGTAACTGAGGACTACTTTTTCTTTTTGGCAGTTTTTCTTTTGCTTACATGTAAGATTACTATCTTTCTTAATGAGAGCTTCTATTCTTTCTCTTCTGTAGCCGTGCGTTTGAAAACATTCTTATGTTATTAAAGAATTTTGCTGGACTTTTGAATGGTTTTTTATATTATTATATTGGCCTTGTTTGTTAATCAAATTGTTACACTGCAAGGTTTTTCTATAGAATATTCTAGGCATCAAATATAATTAGATATATCCAATTATAAACATCCTATTCATTAAAGAAACTTAAAGATTATGTTGATGATTTGCTTTTTGTTCTTATGTTACACAATGAAACTATGAGCACTAAGTTTTGGCTTTAATGAGGACTTATCACGCACTATTGACATTGTCAGAGTAATCATAGAAGTGGGTAGACCGGGGGTTTATTAGGCAATTCAGACAGGTTGTCTGTCCCTCTTTGGTCGTATTTGTTACAATTTGATGGTTTATGGGAATCTACAAAAATTCAAGCAGTTTTTTGTTACAAACATTTGGGTTTATGATTAAGATAGTTCAAAATTACTTTTTAATACGTACTCTAAAGGTACATTCTATTTTGTTGCTGATGCGTGGATGACTTCAATTTTGGGATTTTTCACAGACATTGTTTTCTGTACCAATAATAACCAGAGATTAAAATTGTAGCTTAATGAAATTAATTGTGAAGTAAATACTATGGAAATAAATGTAATACAAAGTTATAAACAGGATTACAGTTATACTATGTTCACACACAATCCATGACTCACTTCGATCTTGATTTACCTACAATCTCAATTGTGAATGACACCAGATGAATGTCGAGCTGTTCGCAGTCAGTCCGCTTGAGAAGAACCTGGCTATTACATGTGACGATAAAACTGACAACTATGCGGTTAGTCATGAACAGCAACAAACATAATGGAAGTTTTGGTTAGAAATAAATACTTTTTCTTGCCATATATCTAATAATAGACAGATGTATTTTTTATTTCTCTGTTGATAGCTCGATATGTGTTCCGCAGCCATCTTGTATTTTCTTGCGTGTGTGGGATTGTGGAATCTCTCTTATGACTGGATCTAGTTTCAAGAACTCTCTCCAGTCGATCGCAATTGAACCTCGTTTCAGTCAAGATTGAAACGGTCGACAGAGGTTGCATCATGGCATAGTCACTGACCTTGGTCACAATCTAGATCAAAATTCTCAGTGCAAATGGAGTATTACAAAAGTAAGAGCTGTTTAAGAAAGGTTACATGTGTTTTTGCAGTCGGTCATCTTGTACAATGTTCTCTACTACAGAAGCAACATGGTATCTCATTTTGGTGTATTATCTACTGTCTAATAGGTTTCAGATGTTTAAGTAAGGGTGCGAGATGGGATGGGATCTACGGGAGATGTACCCTGGTGTTTTCATTTATTATTATGTTATCATGGATTTCGATAATTTCTAAATGTTTGTAAAATTTGAATTTGGTAGTATTTCTTTTGGTTTTTAATATTTTAAATGAATCTTTATTAATATTACAATTATGGAATATGCATTGTTTAGTGTCAGCGGAGTTTTCAATGTTCTATTTTATAACATTGATGTGTTCTTTAAAGCATATTTTTAATTTTTTTTGGTTTCACTAATGTTGTGTGGTTACAACTACAGGAAAACTTATAAACCATCTTGTTTTTATCTGAAATGTTGATTAATCATTTTTGGATTGTGTTTATGTGGACTGGTACAATACATATATTAAATTGTTTGAATTTATTTTGGATCTTTTCAAAAACATTTTTGGCATATGGAACCTTACAGGATTTTGCTGGCAAACTAATGTTTTGGAATATGTTTGGTGTTCTATTATCTGATCTATCTAGCCATTTTAATAAGGTGGTTTTGGGTTAATTATTTAACAAGAATAGTTTGATACAGTAGAGCCTCGATTATCCGACTCAATTGGGGACTGGGGTTGGTCGGATAATTGAAAAGTCAGATAACCGAAAAGTATGAAAAAATCCATTATTAGTGTAGTATATTATTATATCCCATGTAATTAGTATATTAGTATATTGCTATTAACCTACTTCGTGTTGAATTTTCATTGATATTAAGCCTAACAAAAATTTTTTAAAATAATAATCGTCGCTNAAGGTGTGTAACTGAGGACTACTTTTTCTTTTTGGCAGTTTTTCTTTTGCTTACATGTAAGATTACTATCTTTCTTAATGAGAGCTTCTATTCTTTCTCTTCTGTAGCCGTGCTGTAAGGTTGTTCTTCAGATATACTGTAATATTAAACCACGGATGAAAAAAGAAATATTTTTAATGGCTTGGGACAACATTGTTCTTCCCCAATGCTTGATAAACACCTTGGAATACAGCTGTTCTTTTGCACCGACACCACTGTTACGACCGGAGAGCCTCATAAGAGGTTTGAATGTAACTTCCCAAGAGTATTGCAGATGGAAAACAACATTATATGCCGAAAAGGAGCAACGTACTAACAGGACGACTTTACTTTTCCAAAGACACATTAAAGAAATGAATACATTGATGATATTTTGCTTGCATGGGATGGCTCTGCAGAGGATTTAGACAAATTTAAAGAAATGAAGGAATGGCTCCAAAAAAATTATATAGTTCTCATAAAAGCTGATAAATCAAATGGCGTTGTACTCATCAAACGGAGCTTTTATAGAAACAAGCTACATGAGTGTCTTCTTGCCCCAGATAATTACTTGGAAACCTTACAACAAAGAATGAGGAGATTTACCCTTACTCTTTTAGCCAATTATCTGGAGATGAGAACTGCTACTTTACAGGCTCCCAGGACGCCAAGAATTTTGCCAAGAATTTTACAGGTTTTGCCTTTGTCAATAAAAAACTCGGTGGACTTGATCCAAAAACTGGAAAATCATGAATGAAGAATGGATGACAGTTTTGGATTATAAGGCATTATATCTGTCAATCAAGCTACCTCCATGCTTTTGTTCCCGGAGAGATTTTTTATTCGCTAATGTTAACAACACTTTCAAATACCACACGCAGATTTTGGAGTTAGCGGACTTGATTTGCGGACTTGTCACACGTCTTTCTTTGAGTTTGAGAATAAAACTTATCTACAGGGACAGGGAATACCAATGGGTATCCCCATGTCGTCAGTACTCTGAGTTGGTACTCCATAATCTAGAAACAATATCCTCCCTTCGTTACAACATGATATACTGGTATATGCGAGATATGTTGATGACATCTTTATTTTGTGGAAGGATAATTGCAGCACGAAATGTTTTATAGATTTAATAAACAGTAACCCATATGGTTTAACCTTGGAATTAGAACAACAAAGTAATATTAGAATTAATTTCTTGGATCTAACCATAACATTCATAG